AGAGAGAGAGAGAGAATGAAAGAGAGCTCTTTCTGTCCCTAATACAGTTTCCAGTCTACCAGGATTAGGGCGGTGCCAGTCCAACTGGTGGACTGATCCAGTGAGCACCCATCCTTAATCCCAGCACCCTTCCTTAATCCCAGTTTAGGACCATGGATCAATCAGAAACTCTAGATTCAGTCACCCATGAAAAGCCCGTTCCCATGACTGCATGAGGCTTTTCAAGGACATCCAGACACAAACCACAACAGGCTCTCAGGGTAGTTTTGTAATCCTGAAATTGCTTCTTGGGTGAACTCTCCTAAGAGGGCCTCTCTGGGGTTGCTCTGAGGTTGGTGGCCCCCACCTCTTGTGTCCACCTGTGAGCCCGTTGGATGGTGCTCAGTTTGAGAGGCCCTCCAAAACTTCCTCCCAGAATGTGGCTGCACGGGTACATTCCAAGTAATTGTTTTAGAGCACACACTGCCAGCCTCTCTGTTTGTTCAAATCTTAGAAGATCAAAACCTCAAATTGAATTTGGTTTGATTCTGTTTTCCTACAGAGCTTTGATGTCCCTTAGGACTGATCCGTACTTTTATGCTCTTTCATTTTCCTTAGGCTTCAGAAACTCAATGGTGACATCAGGAAATGTCACTGGAGCACGCCAGGTCGCCTTCCTTGGAACTCAGGCTCCCTGAGAAGAAGCTGGCTCTGGGTGACAGATCAAAGCCAGACGGGACGCAGTGAATGAGCAAGGACACAGGGGAGGCATCCCCATTATGAGGCAGCCATGGGGACGAATGTGGAGATTTGCCTACCTTTAATCACTTTCTCATGAAAAGACATCAGAATTCCTCTTGCCATTGTCATAATCCAGTAAATGACATAAAATCCGGACCATAACAGAGAGCTGGCATCCACACACACAGAAATGATATCAAAGGTCAAGATAGACTTCAAAACCCTGGAAAATGATCTAAGCAATTGGAATGGGGGCCGAGATGTACGCTAAGCGTCTAATGAAACTCACGCTTTGAGAACAGCTGTCTTTAAAGTTTGCAAATCATGCTGGACTTTAGAGAAATTTGTGGAAGCCACAATAATAGAGGCTCCCAGTGGTCTGCAGAGCTTGGTAAAGCAAACATACTACATGGCGATTCTTTCCCGGGGGAAGCTCAGCATGCCCTCAGCTCTGCCCCGTGTCTCACAGGGGCCCCAGCAGGGCCTTCCTGGGGGAGAAGTTATTTTTATCATTGCTTGGGAAGAATGAAGGTGGATGCTCTGCTGTTAGCTTCTGCAAGCAGCAAACTCACCACTTTACAGCAAAGAGACAGGCAATTACTCTCATCTTCATTTTATAGATTTTAAGATTTGGAAAATGGGATTAAGTTGTGAAAGAATTGACTCTGAATACAGCAGTGCTTGCGCCTCATCAAATTTAAGAATTTTTCTTCTGATGAGAATTAACACAAATCAATCCTACTGACTTCTCACAAAACAGAAAATGAAACAGAATCACTTAGAAATTGAAGGAACCTTCATATTTCAGAGAGGCGCTCCGGCTGACCTGTGTCCCCGGAGAACACGAGGGCTCCGGGACACAGGGCCTCCCGCCCAGCCTGAGCCGAGCTTGCTGTCTGGCGTCAGCTGACAGCAGTGCTGTTGTAGCCAAAGTCGATCCATCTTTCTAGCCATATTTTTGTCCAATTTGTGTAATGTTTGCATGTGAAGACCATGCACAAACTTCAGATGTTAATTGATTATTTTTTATGGAGCAGATTTATATAATCATAACCCTACTAAATTAAGATCCCAGCACTTAAGAGTAGTAATGATGTATATTTTCCATCTTGGAAAATATATTTTACATCATTGTGACCCACTATAAACATTCTGATAGTCGTTTTAGAGCCCTCTCATAAATATTTTTTAAAAAAGCAATAAGAGTGGGCAGTATTTGAACATAGGGTTGTAATTTAAACCAATTATGCTGCTCAACATAAGGTTATGGGCCCAATAATATATTATAATTCATACTTTATGGTCTGTTGGCAATTAAAATACCACCATTATTCTGCAAACATGCATAACTGTTGGAATCTTGCTTAAGTGGAATAATATTCAGTGCTTTATTACCAGAATGGTGGCTCTATTTGCTGGGTGGTCACTAGCGGGGCACTCTAAGGGCACTTCAGTTCAGACTGGCAGCTATGAACATTGTTCTATTTTCTCTTTTAGTTCTTAATTTTTATTTATTTATTTATTTGCTTATTTATTTATTTAGTACGGGGTCTCACTACGTAGCTCAGACTTGAAGTGATCCTCGTTTTCATCAGTGCTGGGATGATAGGTGTGTGCCACTACACCCGGACTCTGTCACCGACTCAGTGTGCTGGGGGTGGGGCTGATGTGGTATTGGGTCTGAAGTGACAGTTTCCGTGGGGCCGTGTCCCTGGGGGTATGCCGGCACCAGCAGCACGAGCTCAGGAGCTCTCTGAAGCTCTGAGTTTTAAGTCCGGTGTTGAAGCAAGGCTGGTAATAATGATGTTGGAGGCTTGTGCCTGTGCCCAACAGGAATGCCAGTTGACACCCAGTCTCCAGGGAGATAGAATTCAGATGTGAGTCTTCGGGAGATGGTTAGGTCAGGAGGAGCATCTGGTGATGGGGTTAGTGCCCATGGAAGGAGACAGGAGGGAGCTTGCCGGGCTCTGCCATGGGCGGCTACCATGATAAGGCAGCTACTCCGTGACGAGGACTCCAGGTCTGGGTAGCCCCAGCTCTGGGCTTCTGGCGGGGCTCCAGTGCTGAGGGCTGTGCTGCTCACGCCTCAGGCTACTGTGGTTTGCTTTGGCAGCCTGGTCAAGGGTACACATTTTCAGAACGTAGAAGAGGCCATTCGGAGCCTGACCCAAGCAGGTGAGGGAAGACCACTGCAGTAGGGCAAGGCTGGTCAAAGGAGCCCTGTGCCAGCCAAGAACCTGCGGCTCTGCTCCTCTGGGAACTGCAGCAGTGACTGGCTCCTGTGGGGCTGCAGGTGACGCCCACCTCTCCTCACCAGGGATGGACAGCAGTGGGGATGTGCACTGGCCAGCCCTCAGCTGTGCCTTTTGGTCCTGTCAGTTCCCATGCCTTGGGCTGGAGCCTGCTGATCTGGGGTGGATGGCCATGCCCACTGCCCATGGTTAGTGGCTGGATGCCAGCCCTGAGGCCTCCAGCTCACTTTCCAAAGGCAAGCCAGCCAATCAGGAGCCCACAATCCTCATCCTGAGCAGAGCTTCTGGGCCAGTGCCCCCTCTAACCCCTGGAGGGCAAGAGACCAGCATCTGGGTCAACTATGGGGTCAACACCCTGAGAGACCACTTCTGCGCCCGCTTGCCCCTGCCTGCACTCCTGCTGCAGAGCCCGGTGAAAGCTCAGCTCCCTGCCCCGTGGCAGAGAACGGCAGCAGACCCTCGGTCCACGAAGCCAGTTCTGGCCACAGTTCTAGCCACAAACTGAACTGGACGAGAGCCAGATCAAAGTTCCTAATGAGAGCTGCGAAGAACTTCCCAGCAGGGCTGAATCAGCTCTCCTGTAACTGGGCTTGCAACCAGAACTCTGCAAAAAACTCAAGAGTCTGTGAACCAAGGCGTCACTGCTGCTGAGCCCACGATGTCTCCTGTGGTCTCAGGCTGGCCTTTTGGAAGATGACTGGGTCAGGAGGCTCATACCTGCTTGCAGCTAGATGCGATGAAGTCAGGGCTGTGATCGTGACCTCCTCCTCTTGCCTCCATGATGTGAGCAGCTTTCTGCCTCTGGGCCCTTCCGACCTGAACTACAACTGTGATCAGAGTAACCTCTTCCTTTGAGCTGTGGGTGTTGGCTGTTGTGCCTCGGGAATTGGGGCACGGCTAGACACTCCCTCCGCCTTCTGACCAGATTTGCTGCTGCCCCCTTCCACGGCCACCATGCCCACTTCTTACAGGACTTCTGGGTTTGACAAGCGATCTTTCTGATATCAGCGGCTGCCAGAGCTGCTCTTTCTTGCCTGAACAGGCGTATACTTATCTTATGAACAGACCCCTCAGAGCCTAGAGCTTGCAGAGCTGTGTAGACAAATAGGCTAAGGGAGGCAGGTGAGGTCCCTCCCTTGTCACCACACAGCAACCAGAAGACTCCGGTGCTTCTGGAAGACACCAGCCCCATCACCAAGCGGATAACACCATCGCAGCACAGAATTGCACCCTTTTATTGGCAGAGTTGTGTTCCAAAGGCTGGTATGAACAAAAAGTTCCAATAGCAAGACAGGTGGTCTGGAGCCACTGCTGCAGAGCCCCCAGGGACAGACCTGCACAGAGAAGCGCAAGCAGAGCCACTGGGTGGGTGACAGAGGGAAGGGGTGCAGTATGAGGATCATGCAGTGCCGCTGGGGGAGAGGAAGCCAGAGACGCAGCACCACCGCTCCAGCCAGCGGCTGAGTCCTCGACCTCGCTGTGTGGCCTCGGGATGCCCTTTGGCACCGTGGCACGTGGACTTGAAGCCACACACGGGGAGCTGAGAGCTGTGAACTTCCTGGAGCCTACAGCAAACCCAGGCAGGGTGGGGATTCCGCTGAGGGGCACACATACTGCTTAGTCAAAAGCAGAGCTGCTGAGGGACAGAGTTGTCTCCTGTAGACAGTGACATCTAAAACACCATGGGGTCAGCCCATGGTAACACTGAAGAGCTAAGCAACAACATGGTCCCCAGAGGGGTGGATATTTTGGTTAAAAAAAAAATGTGGAGGAAAAAAACCTAGAAATGCCATTTTAAAATTTGCATTTTGAAGAAAGGGAGCACCACCAATTGCACCAAGTTATGACACACAGTCATCCACGTGTGAGTGATTATCGGGCTTGGGATCTGAACAGAGTACAGACACCCACGTAGAAAGGAAGTAGACAGGTCTTGTGCGCAGGGTTGTCACGAACCACGGCACAGACCACACTGCATCATCTTCAGGCTCTGGGGAGTGCCTGCACCCAGATCCCTGTGGGTCCTTTGTCACTGCTTCCTGCCACTATCACTCTCCATCTCTCATGCCCTGGCTTTCCTGTCCACAACCAAGGGCAGCGCAGCCCAATGAACGTGAAACCTGAAAATTACAGAACAGGGAAGAACACACACACACACACACACACACACACACACAGAGGAAATGTGCCCTACTGGACCGTCCATGCCTGTGCTTTTCAATGCAATGGGAGAGGGCCCAGAATGTTCCTCAAGGCAGCCTTGTGTCCTGTGTGTCAGCCAAGGCCTGCTAGATGCCGCTGTCCCAGAGCTTGGAGGGCAAGCGGCTGCAGGGGGCCCCTTCTGGCTTCTTCAGCAGGGTGGGCTTCTTGCAGGGGGGTGGAGGGGGCGCGCGGGGCTCCTGGTGCTGCAGGACTTGCTGCCAGTCCCTCTCCTCACAGAGCTTCCGCCGCCAGTCCAGCAGCTCCTGTAGGGCCACGCTCTCATTCTCTGAGAGCCGCAGCTGGTGGATGACCTGGAGGATGGAGGACAGGGAGGTGTCAGACACAGGCAGCAAGCATGGCAGGAGGTCACAATGCCTGGCCGGAGGGTCAGCACTGGTGGCAGAGGTGGCCTCCTCTCCACATCTCTTGCCCAAGGCCATTTAGGCAGGGCAAGGAGGGAGGTAGGGGCCAACACCAGAGGAGGACTGAGCAGGCCCCTGTGCCAGGAGGCAGGGGTGTGGGGCATGTCAGCCACCCCTCAGGTGGTCCAGGCCAGAGCCAGCCTGCATGCCCTGGAGTCATGCAGACATTCCGCGGACAGCCTGTACTTTTACTTCATTTAAGCTGTCTAAAATGAATACCATGAATATCTCAATATTAAAAACCGTTACAATGAAACACACACTGCTACTAGCCCCTCCCAGTTGCCCCCCCCCCCTTTGCACGTGCTCCCCCAGCGCCCTCGCAGCTTCCTGCAGCGGCTCTGCAGCCCCGTCCCCGAGGGTCTTCAGCTGCGCTGTCCTGCCTGTCTCGGTGTCCTGAATTGGTTCCAAATGTTTCCCTTTCACGGTCCTTTTTCCTTTGGGGAGGAGACAGAAGGCACATGGTGCCAGATGCAGGGAACAGTGGACAGGGAGAGTGAGGACACAGTGCCACGTTCTGGGGCCCTCTGTGGGATGGCATGCCACAGTGGCATACATCACCATTTTGAGCATGCCTCTTCAACCCATGGACGAGGAATTTCCAGAACTGCCCCAGAAAGTGGCAGAATGACAGGATGTGTGTTCAAGGTGAGATAAGGATTCTGAAGGGAAAGAGAGATGTGCCTTTTACCGTAACAAACATTTTGGAGTTAGAAATTCACCGTATGGCTTGACCATACCTTGTCCGTGTTCTCCGGTACTAGCAGTCCCTCAAGCTCCACCCCCTCAGGAGCTAGGCCTTTGCCCAGCCCCAAGATCACTATGCAGGTGTGACCGTGGAGGCGGCATGGGGGTCCTGACCACACGCGTCACTCCTGGGGAACCTGGGTAGCCAGTACACACACTGATTCCAAGCTTAGACGCTGCAAGAGACAGCCACGAAAACACCAAGCAGGCTCCGCTGGGGCGGGCGGGCTGTGCCGAGGACACCCGCAGCCTCCGGTGCAGCCAGCAGCACCAGCACCTTGCCAGCAGAGGTGTGCCTGTGTGGCAGAGCGATCTGCTACCGCAGCGACCACGCTCCCCGGCCTGAGCCCTCTCCAGCCTTTGCTGGAAGGCAGGTAGGTGCATGTGGCTATGCTCACTAGCGACTTCGCTTTGCTTCGCACTGCTGCCTGGACGTGGAGCTCCCCAACTCCCGTAGGACACAGTGGGGCCAGTGGCTTACGCTGCCATGGACGCCTCTCCTCTGCCTGCAGCCAGCCACCCATGTCAGCTGAATATTTTAGACACTTTTCTGGCTACCTAGAAGTGTGTATGCTGGTCACAAATGAGAGGAACTAGAGTGACAGAGATTCGAGGAAAGGAGACAGCTCACCCCAAGCCCGAAGTACAAGATACCTTGCTCCACAAGCTCCTCCACTCCGCACAGCCTCTGCACTAACACCAGAGAGAGCAGAGCACCGGGGGCAAAGTGGCAGAGAGGCATAGGAAGAGGACAGTCCCTTCACAGGAGCAAGGCCCTCGGCATCCCAGGGCTAGCACAAGCCCACCTGTGGCTGCTGCTCACGTGCAGGAGCAGGCGTCCAAGGGTAGCACAGTCGGTGGCACAAAGCCAAAGGAGCATCCCACATTGAATGACAGGGAAGCATATCCACAGAAAGCGGGCTGCAGTGCAGGCCGCCCTGACATACATGCTTGGTCTCCAGCATGGCACCAGGATGATCAGGAAACGGGATCCTGCAGGCTGACCCTTGTGGGGCCAGGCTGCTCCCAAGCCGGTGGAAAGGGCCAAGGACATGGGGGGCGGGGCGCACGTGGAGTTCAGTTAGTGAATCTGGGTGCTCAACATGTGCCAGGCGCTGGGCTGGGCACCTTACAGGCATCAGCCCGTTCCTTCCCTGATGCACCCTAGAAAGTGTGGATGAGGAAATCGAGGCACGGAGAAGTCGGGCAGTTTGCTCAGCATCACCGCTCAAGGCGGAGCTCATCTCCAGAGCCCGCCTTCTGAGCCAAGACTGGACATCACCTAACACTCGCTGCCCGGAGCGCAGAGTGGCCGCTTGAATTACAGCAAGCGAGTATGCTTACGCATGCTGCAGACTAGACAGGTTATGCGTGAGGACGCAAGCTCTGGCGCGCCGCTTTAGCTTCAGGAGTGACACAAGTGCAGCAGCAGATTTTACGGACTCTCTAGACCAGGGTTAAGTGCAGTGCTTCTGAAATTGAGGTCGTATTTATGACCAACTTAGGTTTTTTGGAGTTTCTATTTTCATGTTTTAGAAAACATAATGAGTTACGCTTTGCGTCCTTGCACCGAGCTAACGCTGAAGCAGCTTTTCTGTCTTTGTATCTTACCTACAAAGAGGTTGACACGAGCTGAATGCTGTATTATTTATGATGATCCAGGTTAATGAGCAAAGAGCACCTGGGCTTAATATGCAAATAAATTCTCTCCCTTCCTGGGAGTGAGAGCAGCGGCGTTCCCAGGGGTCCAGACGGAAAGCCGGGTAGAGACCGGCAGAGCAGCGGCACCAGCCGGCAGGCGCTCCCCGCGGCGCGCGGCGGCGCTGACACCCGCCCGCCCGGGCTCTCGCTGTCCACGCCCAGGCTGCGTAGCGCGCTCACGCTTACGCTAACTGGAGTGCCAACGGCGTTGCTCTCCGGGTTTTTACTCTACTCCATCGTAGCTGTGCTGTTGTTATGCAGCTCTGATGTGGGCCAAGGGAAGCAAAAATCTTACGTAACTGCGTGCACATGCATGCGATTAACACTGCTGAAAACAGTTCCAAGATGTTAAGGGTCGAGGGAAACATATTTTCATTTAAACAGAGTCGTATATATTATGCAAGTTGGGAGGATGCTGGTCTACTCCGCGTGAGAAGAATTAGCGACTTCTTGACAAGACTACGGTGTCCTTCAGGTCCAAAATGGGCAGGTTAATGTCTGCCAGCCTGAGCATCCCGTGAACTTGCAGAGTTTACGGGGAGGAGGCTTCCTGGACCACGAAGGAGAGAGGGGAGATGTGTTCTCACCTATAGCTCACTGGGGGCTTTTCTTTAGGAGTGAGAAACAGGGAAGCCGCTTGCTTTCTTTAGGCCCAGGAAGAGAAAGAAGAGGGTGATTTCACCAGTGGCCACCGCCCCCGAGTCCACCCTCCTTCTTGTAACATCCTTTGTCTCTGAGAGCTCCAGGGCAGTCCTGACACCAGCAGGAAAGCTCTGGGGACTGACTGAGACATTCTGCTGCACAGCAGCCATGTAGACACAGGTGTCCCACGCCCTTGCACCCTGTGGTGTGGCCACGACCAGTGGGCCTGGTCACCACAGACTTCCTGTGGCCAGCAACGGGGCCAGGTGAGCTTACGTCATGACCCGCACCATTACGTCTGGGCAGCATGAAAGGTAGTGTCTTTCTAGAGCAGATATTTGACCAAGGCTTTCAGATTCTTGCCCTGGGTTGTCTCATAGTTTAAAACCAAATTGTTTGGCGGGGGATCTAGGAAGATCCTGGAAATTGTTCCATGATTTTAAATTGTGACATTCAAAAGGGAGGCACTTTATTTAACTCAGTCATGTCAAGGCAGGAAGCAAGGTTTGTAAGGAGCTGGGAAAATCTGACCCCTCAAAAAAAGCGAGAAATGCTTTGCAAATGCCGAGGCAGTGCAGGGGCCCCCAGCTGTGGGGGTGCCTGGGGCGAGGAGGGAGCAGCTCTGTGCATACGCAGGACTGCCCTTTGCGTGTGCTAAATCTGAAGCCCCACCTCATTTCTTACTTTGACGCAGGGACTCAATAAGATGGTAAGTTGCCTAGCTTTTGAGTTTTTGGGTTTTTTTTTAATGTAAAATTACTTAAACTGTGGCTAGGTTCCATCTTCCACATTGTTTCCTTGTATCACTAAATTGCTCAGGTTCAGCTCAAATTTGTAATACTCCTGCCTCTGCCTCCAGAGTTGTGGAAGTACAGCATGTGCCACCACGCCCAGCTGGCTCTGCACTTCCAAGGACAATGGTAGTCATGTAAATTAGTAATTTTCTGCTGAATTTCACCTTGAGGTTTTCCTTTGAAGGGTAAACGTAGTCTTTGCTCCACAATTCAGATGTAAAATCATGTTGCTGTTCACTTGTCACAGGATTGATTTTCCGATTGATGCTTCGCCCTGAGGTGAAAAGACTTATTTACTGGCATTTTATGGAAATCAAGAGGAGGAGGTGTCCTGGCTGGTTGCACAGTGGAGATCAGCACTCCAAAAGCAAACCCTGTCCCCACACAGTGCTGAGAAGACACGGAAGGAAGACAACATCGAAAGGTGAGCTCGGTGAAACGCAGTCAGGAAAGCCACGATCCACCTGAGGAAGGCCTAAGATGCAGCACAGGACACAGCGAGACTGCACACACTTGTGACTAAGGCTTGGCATCTGTCACTCCTTTCCAGAGGCAAAAAATTACCTTAAGTGAAAACAGCGCTGCGGCGTATGCTGAAGAGAGCTGCCCTTCTGCAGCGCAGAAGTGGGTGTCACCTCCGGGCCCTGAAGCACACCCTCGGGATTCCAGCCCAAGGCTGAAATGAAGCGTGAAGGACTTGCAAAGGCTCAGCCTTTCCAGAGTAGGAGTGGCTCTACTGGGTTCTGGGAGGAGAGAGGCCCTACCTTCATACCTTCCCTGGATGTGTGGTTCCTTAACAGTCAAGAACTGTCCTTTTCTAGTCAGTAGCAATCTATTGAAGCACATTTGATACCATTTTTTTAAAATGTATTTAGTGCAGGGTCTAAGGGTCTCACTGCGTAAATCAGAGTTGTAGTGATTCTCCTGGTTTCAGCCTCCCAAGTGCTGGGATTACGGGTGCGCACTACCTCGCCCAGTCTCAGTCACTCTCTCAGCCCGCCCTGG